AATATTCAACAACCAACGAATAGATTTGCTACATGTTAGGAAGAAACTTTCACACTTGGTTCAATTGCCAGGACTGTACCCAAGTTTGATTGACCCCCCTTGTCACCATCTCGGTTGGTTTGTGTTCGCACTGTCTTTTTTTTCCATTGAGCTGTTGTGTGTATGGCTGTTGCTATGTGATGGACACAAAAGCAAAGTGCCAAAATGAAAAGACATATGCTCATCGCGGTCATTCTGCTTTTACTTTTTTTGGGGGAGACAAGCAGACATTTATCACTGTGATGGCCCTGGCTCAGTCCCGCTTGTCAACAAGGCGCAGTACGTGATAGACACACACACACAAACGAATGAACATTATGAAAACTAAAGTTTGTTGTACATTTGGCGGTTCACTTCCGTTATTTGGTATGATTGCTTTTGGTATGAAACCAGAGTTTGCACGAACCGTACCCCAGACCACCTCTTTCAGCTGGACTTCTGCTCGGTTCGTGTTCAGAAGACGCGTTCACACTAGCTAAACGTATCGTACTCTGATGTCAGATGGACCTGGGTGCGGACCAAAAGTACCCTTACTCACCCTCCACTTGATTCTAAACTGTTTAGTTTTAGTACTTGTGTTGAACATTCATTCATTCATTTTCATTTCGGCTTAGTTCCTTTATTAAACAGGGGTCGTCACAGCGGAATGAATCGTCAACTTATCCAGCATATGTTTTACACAGTGGATTACCTTCCAGCTGCAACCCATCACTGGGAAACACCCTTACCCTGTCATTCACACACATACACTATGAACAATTTAGCATACCCAATTCACCTATGCTGCATGTCTTTGGATTTGTGGGGGAAACCGGAGCATGAGGAGGAAACCCACACGAACAAGGGGAGAACATGCAAACTCAATACACAAATGCCAACTGGTCTGCTGGTCCAGTCGAGACTTGAACCAGCAACCTTCTTGCTGTGATGCAACAGAACTACCTACCGCCCTACCCTTAATGCCCAGTCCAACATAAAGGACTGAAAAATGTTGGGAAGAAAACACACTATGACCTCTGTAGTGTTTTTTTTTTTGTTCCTCCTACTGTGGAGGTCAATGGCTGCTTTTCAACATTCATCAGAAAATCCTGTTTTGTGTTCAACAGAAGAAAGATAGAACAAGTGCAAGTAAATGATGAGGAAATATTATTTTTGCATCAACTATCCCTTTAAGATTAGTTTATTATCGTCTTAAGATGCAACATTTCGATTGTAGCACATCTTTTCTACATTTACATACTAATTACGACTCAGTCAAGTGCCAGAAAGCTTGTGTATTGATGTTATTTGTTAGATTCAGTGACAAAATGTAAATGTAGATTTAAGATTTAGCTTTTTAAAATGTATTTAAAGTCTAATTAATATTTTATATTATATTTTTAATATTTATAAATTTATATATATTCTATTCCTCTATAAAAATCTTTGGTGGAATAGAAAGGTTGTTAAAGTTTTGTTGTGAAGGAGATGTTTTGTAAATAATATTTTTTTTTTTATGAATGCTGGAACAATAGATTCTCTCCATCCAAAGCAATGACAAAAAAGACCCTTGATTCTTTCAATGGTTTTGTGTGCATCCCTGATGCATCTGGCATTTTTGATAGGAAAATGTCGTGCGTTTTACGAGTTTTCACACCTGACAGGCTTGGTTTGATTAAAACATACTCTAGAGTGATTGCTCTGTTAGTCTGATATTTGAATAAGTGTGCATGCTGTTTTGATCCTTGAACAAATCGAGTGAAATCACTAAAAATAAGTCTTGGTCTGCTTTCTACTAATCTCTGGTGCAGTTCAACTGAAATATAAATGCTACATGGACCAAAGACATAAAAAAAAAGAGGACATGATGTCAGAGGAGGCGACTTATATAATTGCAGAATAGGCAGGCATATTGCTTTATCTTTTCACTTCCCATATTTGAAAGTCAACAAAGGCGTCAGACACTCATGTCTTTGCATCACATCTTCATTTGTGTGTGTGGCGGAGGAATTCCAGGCACTGTTTTGGTTGCTTTAAATATTTTATGAGCTCTTCACGAGTTCTCACCTGATAAAAATACTGTCATTTATGCACTTAGAGTGGGCTTAGCCTAGTAAACAGCATCCATTGGGAAGTTTCATTGCTAAATAGATCTCCTAAAACCATTTTTTTGGAAACAATTAATTGTAGATTGTAATTAACACTATTTACTGTTGGCTTATGAACTGCCTATTATTAAGATCTTTAAAGGCCCTTATAAAGTATTATTTTATTTTATACTCCAACTCCCAACTACTTTCTTACTAACTATTAATAATTAGCTAATTAGTAGTTTATTAAGTAAATGGTCTTAGTTAAAGGGTTGTTAATAGGATGAATTGTACATTTTAAAATAAAGTGTGACCTATTTATTTATTTATTTATTTATTTATTTGTATTTTTTTAGGTTTGGTCTTGAAAATGATAATGTGTAATTTAAGCCAACTTGGATTTAACGTATCATTCTCTTTTTTTTTTTTTTTTTTTGGCCCTGAACAAAAGAATAACGAAGAGAATCAAACTACTGGCCTGAGGGAAAAGTACATTTTGTAATATTGAGTATAAAATGACAGTCTAAGCACAGAATGAAGTCCACCCACTTGAATATTTTTGGCCTCGACTCTGAATGTGAAACCCCTTAGTCCACTTGCAGTGTTGCAGAATTTCTGTCAACCATCTGCTTCCCAGCAGCATCTGCAGAAAAAAAACCCTGCATAAAGCTGATTTTATATATAGATTCATGGAATCTCTCATTTCAAAATTGCACTTAAAGGTGCAGTATTTAACTTTGACTCCCAGTGGTTGTACTAGGTATTGAATGCCTGGTTTAAATCACGCAAATGCAGGTTGCTAGATTGATGACATCAAAAGAAGCGTGCCTGACTATCAAGAATAAAGGCTTATTTAATTCAAGCTCTGAATAAAAGCAACGGCTCGCAATAGAAGGAATATGATGCATATTAAAAGGAGTTTTTTGTTCTAACCAACACCTGAAGTATTATATATATTATTATATTTTAGAAACAGCTTCTATAATTGCAGCCCAACAACAGAAAACCGTCAATGATCACCTTATGTACACCTCATGTGCTTTATTTAGTGTTAAATGCTAATAATGTGAGTTTGAATGCCATTTTACATGACATTTATTGCCATACTACTCAAAGCAGTAGCAGATAGTTCACCTCAGATCTTGAAAATAAAATAAACATTTAAAATATAACTTTAGAACTGTGACTCAGTGGAAACCAACACACATTAGTAATTCAGCATCTACATTATTAAATGTTAAAGAGGTTTAATTTGTATTAATCAAGAGTATAAACCTTACCATTTAGTTGGAGTGCAGTAAATTCTATTCTGTGCTTCTGAATGGCTGTATATAAATTTCTGTCATGTTACGTCTGCTGCAATCAGCCAAATTGCTTATCACTACAATGCAACCTGCTCACCTAATGTTTACGTTCGGAATATTTATATTATTTGCTAATTAAAAACCACCTCATGTGGAACTCTGAATCTGTGTCTCATTTCGGAAGCTGCTACTGTCCACCGACGGTCACATTTCGGTCACAGACGCATGCTTTGAAAGCCCTCCTGACTGAATGAATAAAATGGGCTGTTTTCCACCAAGGCAACTCGGGGTGCTGAAATATAATTGGCTAAACTGGCATTGGACTGGTTAAAGGGACCAAAACAAAGATGCTCCGGCACCTAACAGACATTTTTAAAGCAGAATATCTGACTTCAGCATTGTTTTTCAGATAAGCAAGAATGTTCGCTTGGCATGTTTCTTAAATATCTGCAAATATATGGGGTGTCAAAATTAATTGTTTCTTCGGTGCACCGCGATGCAGACAATTCGGTATGGGTTCAGTAATAGTCATAACCGGTTATTATGTACGAACGTCATTTATCTTATATACGCTATGTCACCGTAGCTTACTATGGAGAGGGAGGCGAACGCGACTATTTATAACGCTCCTACTACTTCAAAATGCAGAAGCTGTGCACAATTTCACTGCGTGTGTGTTTGCTGGACAGTCTTTCACTGACACAGCAGAAGCCCCTATTTCACTGTGATTTGAGAGAATGAAAGTAAAGTCCATTTCTCTTTCTTACACTGTGGCCCATTTGACCTGCTTGACCATGACTTTTCCTCTCCTCTTGGCTGTTACAGCGATACTTCTGGGTACAGACACGAGCACGTGTCTGCAGAGTTTTCTCCACTGTGTCTGTCATGCATCAGCTGTGATCGCCGCTGTTCTTTATCAGTGTCACTCATCTGTGAAAAGCACCAGCGAGTAAGAGCCAATCGCAGCCCTTTCTGTTGAGCGCGTGACCAATCAAAGGGGTGTAAGAACTTGGTAGACAAGGCTCAGAAAGCGAGCAGGAAATCTATATTTGTTTATTTGCTATAAATGCTCGTGTTGTTTAAAGGTACAGTTTATATATCTGACTGTTTACATTAAAGGACAAAATTGTATTACAAATAGTTTATAAATATAAATACATTTATACATTTTAATACATGAGATATCTAATTAATCCGAAACGATGGCATTATAATCGTAACCGAACCATGAGATCAGTGTAGGTTCACATCTCTAGCAAATATTCTGGTAATTTTTTTACTTGAGATGAGTCGAAAACTTGCATACAACACCTTAAAAACTGCAACATTCATTTTAAAGTCAAGAGCGAAGGATTGTCCATGCTTGATTTGGCTATCCAGAATGACTTTGTGTTTTTACTCCCCCAGGCATGTTTCTCATGGGCCTGCTCAAAGGCAAGCTCTTGGTAACTCATTACCTTCGGGTTTTGAACCTACAACCTTTGTGTAACCAGCCTGGATCATTAACCACTGAGCCACACCCACCGAAAATGATGAGAGAATGAAGCCTTGATATGCATTTTAATTGCACGTTTGTATTTTCCGACAGATGCATTTCCTGCTGCTGTTCAGTCGTCAGGGGAAGTTGCGTCTGCAGAAATGGTTTCTGCCTCTCCCGGAGAGAGATAGAAAGAAGATTGTAAAAGATATGACTACTATGGTGTTGGCACGAAAACCGCGCACATGCAACTTTATGCACTGGAAGGACCTGAAGATCGTCTATAAGAGGTGAGCGTTCAGCTAAGGCCATAAGCGAATGTCCTGAAGGAATACATTTACATTCAAAACAATATGCTGATCACTCCTAAAAGTCTGCAGAAATAACCCATTGTCCTGGTTTACATGCAAACCAGTAATCTGCAAATGCAAATAAATATGGTATGTTTTAATTGATTCATTTGAATGAATCTGTTTATTTCCCTGAAGAGACTCCAAAATGTAATAATTAATGAAGTTCATCTTACTGCATGTACTGTAGTAAACGCACACCCTGATCTGATGTAAAGAAGAAAACGAGTGTCATATTTACTATTTAGTTTCATCATGTTCTTTTAGTTTCATATGTTTAAAGTTGAGCCCCTGAAGCCCTTTTCACACATACAGACCCATCCGGAAAAATTACCGACCATTTTTCGGAAAAGTCTGTACGTGTAAACAGGCCCTTTTTGATAATAAATTAAATAAATTAATAATTAAATAAATTAATTCCGGCTATTTTCTGGAAAAAGAGAAGTTGTAACATTACCGGTAATTTCCCGAAATGCTGCGCTATGTGAATGCAGAAGGAAGATTAGTGAAAAGAGCACGTTAACGTGTAGAACACCCTGACGGGGGAAATCTATAGCCAATTAGAACAGTCAGACGCATTCACGCCTGCGCTGTTTATGAAAATAAAAGCCTTTGAATATATTTCCAGACACCTTTAGCTGCTAGATGTTAGTCAGATAACTTTTCTATGTTCCTTCTTGATGCCAACTCTATAAATAATTATCGATAATATGCTTATGATAAGCCGTTGTTTGTTTACCTTCAAGCTCTGCTTCCTTCAGTTGCTTGACGCCTCACATGTGCCCGTGAAGCAGCTGGTGAGTGCCAGCACACACATATTATATACATCTTGACATGGGAAAGAGTTCCTCCATATCTTTTCATCAAAGTTGTTCACAATACCTATTCATCTACAGAGTTTGTAATGTAGTCAAATACAAGCGCAGTCATTTAGAGCTCTTTTCTGGTTAATGATGTCAGAATTTACCGGGTCTGTTCCGGAAAAATTACGTAACGTCTTCGCCTTTGTGAACAGCGTGTTATTTATTTAAATTTCCGGATATTTACCGATATCACCATGTAAAAGGGGCTAATGTTCGTGGTTCCTTTTCTGTACATTATCTCAGTACTGTTGCTATCTATTGAGGATGAGAGAGCTCTAGGGTTTCATCTAAAATATCCTAATTAATGCTTTAAAAACCAACAAAGGTCTCTGGATTATAATGACAGGAGGATGAGTAGTTAATAACAGAATTTTCGTTTTGGGCTGAACTAAGCCTTTAAATCCACAGTAAGGACAGATTTGTGTCATATCACACGCGTGCACTTTGATAAATCACGAGAAAGCAAGTCGATATGATTGCCTTCTTAAATTGAGCAAAAGTCTATTTGTAATCTATAGCTGTGACAGTCGGTTTATTCATAAGTAATTTATGACCTTACTACTGTAAAGGGAAACAAGTTAACACATTTACATGACCACAAAAGCATTGTAGGCCTATTAAATATTATTAGGTTAAAAGCGAGCATGCATTGAAAAAGAGCATGTTGGTTCGAGTGCTGCATTCAGCATTAATTAAAAGCCCAGCTGCTAAGTGCTCATGTGTGATCATTAGTCATCTCAGGATGCGAGCAGAAAACTGAACTCGTGCAAAGCGAACACCTAGTCAGCAGTCAAGATCTTATGTGGTCTAATTAAAATACGTCTCTTTAGAAGGTTTCTAAGCCTGAATGGAGTTTGTCGCCCCATTATGTGTTGTGTTTTTAAAACCAGTTCATTCTGGCTTTCCTGATGTCATTAGCTGATGACATGCCACTCTCTGAGTCCTCCTTGTTTTCCAGCGAAATCTAGTGTTGGCTTCTTACACAATGACCCCCTATTAGCCTACAGTGCTGTTTGAAAATGGACACACACACACACACACACACACGCAGGGAAATAATAGTGTTTTAATTAACAATTTTAATATTATTGATCGTGTGGCGTAGTGGGTAGCGCTGTCGCAACACAGCAAGAAGGTTGCTGGTTCGAGCCTCAGCTGGGTCAGTTGGCATTTGTGTGTTGTATTTGCATGTTCTCTTTGTGTTCGCATGGGTTTGCTCTTGGTGCTATAGGTGCTATAGGTGAATTGGGTATGCTAAATTGTCCGTAGTGTGTGAATAGAAGTGTATGGGTGTTTCCTAGAGATGGAATGCAGCTGAAAGGGCCACTGCTGTGTAAAACATATGCTGGATAAGTTGGGAGTTCGTTCCTCTGTGGCGACCCCAGATTAATAAAGGGACTACGCCGAAAAGAAATATAATAATAATAATGATAATAATGATAATATGCTTTATTATATTTTCACCTCTATTTGTTGGATTTTTATTTTAATTTAACTGGTTTGTAATTTATGTCGGTGGCAAGGGTCACTAGAAGGAAAAAAAAATACAAACCTTGATTGTACAAAATGTTTTGGTAAAGCTTGGGGAAACATCACAAATGTGTGTGTGTGTGTGTGTGTGTGTGTGTGTGTGTGTGTGTGTGTGTGTGTGTGTGTGTGTGTGTGTGTGTGTGTGTGTGTGTGTGTGTGTGTGTGTGTGTGTGTGTGTGTGTATATATATATATATATATATATATATATATATATATATATATACATGCATATATACACACACACATGTATGTATGTATGTGTGTGTGTGTGTATATATATATATATATATTAGTATAACAATAACAATAATAATAATAATAATATAAATATACTTGTACTTTTATTTGACCCTTTGAATTTAATAAAAACTGGCAAATAATGGATGTCTAGATCACACTAAATTTGATATAAATTTCTAAAATTGTATTTACACTTAATGCATATTAAATACTAAATATGAAATGTAAAAAGTGTGTACATTCATTCATTTTCTTTTCAGCTTAGTCCTTTTATTAATCTGGGGTCGCCACAGCGGAATGAACTGCCAACTTATCCAGCATATATTTTACACTGCGGATGCTCTTCTAGCTGCAACGCATCTCTGGGAAACATCCCTACACACTCATTTACACACATACACTTCGGGCAATTTAACTTACCCAATATATCAGTACCGCATGTCTTTGGACTTGTGGGGGAAACCAGAACAATCGGAGGAAACCCACACGAACACTGGGAGAACATGCAAACTCCACAGAGAAATGCCAACTGACCCAGCCAAGGCTCAAACCAGCGACCTTCTCTCTGTGAGACGAACGTGCCACCCACTGCGCCACCAGGCAGCCCTGAAGCTTTAAATAACCTTTTATGAAAATAGTGTCAAAATGTTGTGAAAGAATATTATTTGTCATTCAGTGTAACAAATACATTTATTAAAAACAAACTGCACACTAGGGCTGCACAATATATCGTTTTAGCATCGATATCGCAATGTGTGCATTCGCAATAGTCATATCGCAGCATCCACAAAGTGGAGTTGGGATTATTAAAATTGATCAGCACTGAAGAATGTTCAGTGTGTACATTTTTACATTTCACTATTCATTAATAGGGGCAGGACAAAATAGGGATATGCATGAAGTGGCGCATCTCGTAATGGCAGATCGAACATACATTATTATCATTATTATTTAAGAAATGTATTTGCTGTTAATAAAATAAAAAAGTCACACTTTTTGATGGTCTGGGGGTTGATTTTAAGTTACATTGCAACATGCCAACTAATTCTCATTAGATTATAAGTAAAATGTTAGGTTGGGGTTAGGGTTAGTGTACGTTTGTCGAAGCAACAGTATCAGCAGATATTAAGCAGACAGTCTACTAATACTTAAATGGACCATCAAATTAAAGTGTTACCAAAATAAACATCTCATAACTTTTTGATGAAATTTTTCCTCTTCATTTACAATTATCATGATATATTGTTGTTGGTTTTCTTGTGATATATTGCTGATATTGTGATTTATCATTATCGGGGGCAAAATATCATGATAAAATCATATCAGATTACTGTACCTGAATATCTGACTACTTATTTCACTTTTATCTTTGCTCTTGTATTTATTAATTCTTGCAATATTTTTGACTCTCTCCTCTATAAGATTAGTCCAATCATTCATTCATTCATTCACTCATTCTCTTTTCAGCTCAGTCCCTTTATTAATCTAGATGAACCACCAACTTATCCAGCAAATGTTTTAAGCCTTCCAGCTGCAACCCATCGCTGGGAAACATCCACACACACTCATTCACAGATACACTACGGCCAATTTAGCTTGCCCTATTCACCTATACCGCATGTCTTCGGACTGTGGGGGAAACCGGAGCACCCGTAGGAAACCCACGCCAAGATAGGAAGAACATACAAACTCCACGCAGAAATGCCAACTGACCCAGCCGGGGCTCGGACCAGCGAACTTTTTGCTGTGAGGTGATTGTTCTACCCACTGCACCACCGTGCCGCCATATTCCAAACAATCCAAAGGAATGATTTAAATCCAAATAGAGCTAGTCATCCGCCGAATTTGTATTCATAGCGCATTATAAATGCAGAATATCGCAATAAATTAAAATATTGCAATGTCAGATTTTTTCAATATTGTGCAGCCTTATTACATACTTAGTTTAACTTCTGCTTATTAAAACATATTTAAAAAATTGTAAAACCATAAATTATTTTTACGCTTTGTATGTAAACTGAATGTCTTTTTAGTGATGTCTTCTGGTAAAAAAATGATAGTCACTATTTTCTGTTTAAAAAAGCTTATCCGCTATACAGTAAAAAGAAATATTGTAAAAATTTATAACAAGTCATGTCAGTAATGATTGGTTTATTCATTGTGAGTTGATTTGACCATTGAAAGTGTTTAATCAATAAAGTATCAATAAAAGTGAACATGTTTAATTAATATGGAACAATACCAGTCTACTTTATTGTACTAAATCTTAATAAAAGCTTAAAAGGAGGATTAAAGAACCTTTTAGTTTTTTGAAGGTGTGAATAAAAATGTGTAAATATAAATCTATTTTAAATTCTCACTCTACACTTCAGTGCTTCAGAGTCTGCTTGTATTTTTGATCTCGGCCCAGATTATTTGCTGCATCAACAATGAAGTTAAAGCCGTCTTGTGTTTCTCAGAGCAAATCTTTTCTTCTCACTAGTGTCCTGAGAGGCTGTTACTCACACTCTTCTGCTTCACATCCTTATTTCACACCTTTCGTAACCTGTGGCTCCCTTCTGTCCTGTGCTTTTCCCTGTGTGATCTTTACGAAGATTTGTTCATACAGCACTTGCATAAGAGAATGCAGACGACAATTGTAGTTCATGCTATTTAAGATTACTTTTTAAAGCTGTCATTGCTGTGTTGTGTTTTAATTAACGTACTGGTTATGGCTTCCATTGTGGTTGAGCACATACAGTTAAAGTCAGAATTATTAGCTTCCCTGAATATTTTTTTCTCCCAATTTCTGGTTGACGGAAAAAATGTAGCACATTATTAAACATATAAGTTTTAAAAAACAATTTCTAATAACGGATTTATTTTATCTTTGTCATGATGACAGTAAATAATATTTTACTAGATATTTTTTAAGACACTTCTATACAGCTTAAAGTGGCATTTAAAGGCTTAATAAGGCATTTTTTAAAATATTATTACCTGTTAGTAAATGTGTATTTGTGTGTGTTTTGTAGGTACGCCAGCCTGTATTTCTGTTGTGGTTTGGAGAACCAGGATAATGAACTTCTGGCTTTGGAGATTCTGCACCGTTATGTGGAGCTACTCGACAAATACTTTGGCAATGTAAATGCATACAAATTTCCCATCTATTGGAGCACATTTCATAAATGAACATGCAGTATATGTAATATTTTATATATGAGTAATTCCATGCAATTGTCATTCTTGCCATGTAAAAAATTAAGTTTTGGCCAAAATAGTGAAACCGTTTCTGCGTTTTTTTTTTATTGTGCAAACAAAAATAAAAAGTAATTTACAGTGCTAAAATTACTCAAGAATGTCTCTGTTAATGTTTTCAAGCAATTCTATTTAAATGATCAAAATGAGTTTTTTCCACAAATACGAAAAAATGTCAAATAAAATCAATTATGTTTGTTCTATAGTGAGCCAATGCAATTCCAGCGTTATGGATGTGATATTTGCAGTAAAATCTCAAAACCTAAATTGACAGAGGAAGTTTATGTCAACATTATATTCAAACATCTCTTCATATTTTTCAAAACAACTAGCCACAGAGTTGTGGGAGCAGAAACGTATCAATCCGTAAATATTTTTTGTATTTTAAATGAGGGAAATAAACAGGCATTAGGGTGTGTCAAAAAAGTCTGCAAGTTTACAGTATAAAACATACTTGGTAGAAATCCTGTAAATTAAACTACACAACCCAAAAGAAACTATGCTAATCAAAAGGATATGAGTTGAATCTCTTTTGAACAAACATTATTGATTTTGATTTTTTACAATTTCACATTTTTGAGTAAAAAGCTTTGTTATGGATGTGACATCTATCCATTATGGATGTGACGGATTTGAAATTGCCACTTGTGTGACTTTGATAAATCAGATAATAATGGTTTGAAAACACTGACGGAGACATTTTTGAGTATTTTTAAAGCACTGTAAAATACAAGACTACACAAAAAAAACGCAGAAAAAGTTTTGCTATTTTGCCGTAATCTTATTATTATTATTTTTTATGGCAAGGTTGATATTTGCATGGAATTGCTCTTATCGTTTTGATTTAGCATTATTTTTTTGCAGTTTAATTCACAGAATTTTTACAAAGTATGTTGTATACTGTAAACTTGCAGACTTTTTTGTCATAGACTTAATGCATGTATATTTCCCTCATTTAAAATACAATAAAATGTTTACAGATTTATATTTTTCTGCTCCCACAACTCTGTGGCTAGTTGTTTTGAAAAATATGAACAGATGTTTCAATATAATGTTAACGTACACTTTCTATGTGAATTTATGTTTTAAAATTTTACTGCAAATGTCACATCCATAACGCTGTGAAACCAATTTTAACAAAATTGATTTATTATGTTCACCAAAGCATACTGAATGCAAGTAAAGTGTCTACTTTAATATTTTTTAATGATATTTAAAGAATAAAATAATGGTCGATCAACTTTGAGTAAAAGTTATGTTTGTGTATAAATGAAACCACATTCTTATTGTTAACTGTACTCATTAAATATATAAAAGAATAGACGATCATTTAGTTTAGTGAAAAAATGTTATTATAAATATTTAGCATTTTGGGGAACTGTGTTTTTTAAATATGCAAGTTTTGTTATAAAAATTAAATATAAAAGATTGTAAATCAAATTAGTAAGTATTGTTACACTTAACAACATTTTAGTTGGTGTCTTTGATAAAGTGTTTGATACATGTAAATGTATGATGATGTTTGTTTTTTGCTAAAGAAATTAAAATTTAACTAGACTCATTTTAATGTAAAGAAATAAAGCTGTGTTATAATTTTTTTAGTGTTGATGCTTGAAATCTCCTTTTTTTCTTTTACCCTTTATCCCTTAATGCAAATATATTGGGTCAAAAAAATCATTATACAGTAAACTAAACCTATAAATATACTCAATTAAGGTAGTTTTCACTTGAAAAAAAGCTTATAATTATAAAAAATACACCTCAAAACCATTACAAAAACACTACAAAATGATTTAACAAAAACTTAAATTAAACTATTTATATATAGTACAGTAAATCATAAATGGTAATAGGAAATGATTTGACTAAGTGATTAATTACATACAATACCTGACAAACTCGGGTTGTAAGAGCAAAAAATAATTACATCAAGGTGCTCCAGTCATGAGACATAAACATTATTGAGCATGTCTGGGGTAAGATGGAGGAGGAGGCATTAAAGATGAATCCAAAGAATCTTGATGAACTCTGAAAGTCCTGCAAAAAATCTTTCTTTACTATTCCAGATGACTTTATTTATAAGTTATTTGAGTCATTGCAGAGATGTATGGATGCAGTCCTCCAAGCTCATGGGAATCATACACTATATTCATTCGTTTTCCGATGCACCATGACTTTATATTGTATACTGTACATTATTTCTGTAAAGTGACAAGACTTTTGTCTAAGCAAAGTCAGACCTTAATGTACTGATTAAATAATTAAAAATCAAGACATGATCATATTTAATTTGGTAAAATAAACATATTCTAGAGGCCTTTGCCTTTAATATAAGCCACTTCTGATACCAAATGATCAACTAGAGGTCAAGTTATTATTTTTTGTTTCTAAAACTTGTACAGGCGACAAGACTTTTGTCAGGTAGTGTAGAGTTCACTGAAAACAGAATTTAATTCTTCTATTTCTCCTCTTTAACCACTTTATTTGTGTACTGTTGTTTTACAGGTGTGTGAGCTGGACATCATCTTCAACTTTGAGAAGGCTTATTTCATCTTGGATGAGTTTCTGATGGGTGGAGAGATCCAGGAGACATCCAAACAGTCCATAGCCAAATCTATAGAGGCCTCAGATATGCTGCAAGAGGTGAGAGTCTACATTTAATCTTTCCGTTCAATAACATCTATTTATATTACCAGTAGATCTATCTTTTTTAAGAATTAACCTTCTCTTCCCTTAAAATAGATGTTGTTTTGATCTTTATGTTTTACATTAATGCAGGGCTCGAAATGAACCTTTTTGCTTGGTAGCACCGGTGCTCCAAACTTTAAAAATGTAGGCGCATCAGTCAAAATTTAGTCGCACCCACCAATTATAAGCACCGTTACTACAAGTGTTATACAAACATATTTATAGCATTTGAAATCAACACTAATCAAACTAACAAGCAAAAAAATAATATATATGCAAGCGTGAGGAAAATATGTCTCAACAAAATCCCATTATCACAAGAAAATAGATTTTTATAACAGAACTGAGTGACCAAAACATACATGGAGCGCTCACCGGCCCTGCACACACTGCTTGAATCTGTTAACGGTATAACTGTGCTGTTCTCACTAGTGCTGCCGATACTGCACTGATGCTTTTGACACATACTGTACCTTATTATATGCATACGTCATGTTAATAGCAACACTGGTCTTTTCATGAGTATCGATATTAGTTTACTCAGTGCAAGCCCGATTGCGATGGTGTACGTGGTGTTAAATTGGACATATAGCTGCCACTTGCACGGCGGACAACATCTGGCGATTTATATGAAGGTTTAAACTGAAGCTCTCGTGCTAGATGTGGCAAACAGTTACCTGAAAATCCCATCCCACAGACTTTTCATAGTGGACTTGAAGCCAATGGAAGTCTTCTACTCTTGGAAAAGTGTAGGTGGTGGATTAACGTTCAGCACATGATCACTAGTAAGATGTGTCATTTATAACTTTAGATGCCATGGTTTCTAAAACAAAATCTGTCAGTGTCATCTTCATTCTCATCTTCAGCGCTTTACAATTTTTCGCGGTAGTAGCTCTCTCTGTCATCCGAAGCCCGAAGGTGATGAGTGATTGACAGCTGATATTAACCAATCATTCGCGTTCAGTGCTTGAGCAGTGGTGGGCCAATAAGAAGAGCGCGAAGGTGGGGCAAGCATTACGGACTTGGATTTGTTTACTGCAGCAAGTTGACATGACAACTGTTTTAAACCATTCCCGAGCGCTGCGTTTCGCGTTCCAAGTGCAGATAAAGAGCTTAGAAATGCATTCTGAGTGAATGTCTCCCGATTCCGCGCATGTGTTAAACATTTTGCAGCAAAAACTGGTCGCACGCAACAATTTTAAGCACTTGCAGAAATGCTCCCAAATATATTTTAAGGTCGCATAGATAAAATTTCGGGCGCATATGCAACCAAAATGGTCGCAATTTCAAGCCCTGTTAATGCATTTGTAATAAACCTTCATGCTTTACTTGCCAGACTAAAGCATGACTGTGAAGCATATTGAGGTGAATGGTACTGTTTAAATATAAATAAACATGTAAAAAATGGTCATGTGACTATTGTGGATGTGCACATTACGATTTCAATGCTGAAACGATATACTGTGCAGCGCTATTATATACAGACATGGTTAACCTACCGTTTCATTGCCTATAGATGAAGTCTAATGTTTAATTAGATGTTAATGTTTAATGAAGTGTATTAGAGTTATGAAGCTCTGATTTGGTCGACGCCCTAATAAAACATTGTTGATTTGACAGAGTGAAAAGTGGGGAAAAAAATGAACGGCCAATGTGAGTGTGTGGTTTCACAGAGCAGCTCTCACTACCGCTAAATGGCAGCTTTCCCAGCACGCCTCAAATAAATGAGACCACATTCAAAGAATAGTTCGCCCACAATGAGCATCTCATTATTTACTCTTACTCAAAGCTAGAAAAATACCACGGGTGTATAATTGACACGTGCATGAATAAATGATGATGGACTTGTGAGCTTGTGTTTTTAAGTGAACCGTTTCTTTAAAACACCTCTTGCATTTAATCATTTGTTGTGCACGTGCAGATGAAGTCTAAATAATTAGCCCTCCTGTGAAATATTTGTCAAATCTTTCCCAAGTGACGTTTAACAGACCAAGGAAACGTGTTTCCTATAATATTTCTTTCTACTGGAGAAAGTCTTATTTCTTTTAGTTGGGCTGTAATTTAGGACGTTTTAATGTTTATTAGAAACAATATTAAGGTCAATCAATCAATATTATTATTCCCCTTAAAGGAGACCTAGTTTTATGTATTTACAAGATGTAAAATAATTCTCCGATGCTCGTAGAGTGTGTATGTGATGTTTCAGCTCAAAATACCTCACACATAATGTTTTATAACTCTTTGAAACTGCCCCTTTTATGCTTTGATTCAAATTGTGCCATTTTGGTGACTGTCACTTTAAATTCAAATGAGATTGTGTTCTTTTTCAAAAGAGGGCGGAGCTACATATGCCTTTGTTTCAGCATAATGGCAGATTCAAATACATAACAAACCTACTATGCTAATGAGGGAGAGATTGTCACTAATGGGCGGGGCCCCTATGATGACATGCACAAAAGGAGAATGTCAATCAAAGTGTTTCTGCAGATTGTTTTTATGAAGTGCATTTCTGTAGCCAGCCTGGTGAAAGGTGTGGTTCTTTTTTTATTTTTATTTTTCCTCAAAGTGGATCTTTTTGCAGTTATTCGCCTCATTTCTATTTAATTTTGAGGTTAAAAGACTGAATTTTATTGACATTGTAAGCACTTCTTGATTAGCTTGTGGGATGGTCATCATAACAACACTTATTGATGTACAATAAACATCTAAATATTTACGTTAAAGAAATATGAAAACAGTACTTATTTTAAGAATACAAATTTATTAGATCATATATCATAAAAAATAGGAATTTGTTAACGTTTTAAATTCTAAACTGATAATAAATAAATATTAAATTCTAAATATCAAATAACAAGCTAACCAGCACATTCAGCTTTCCTCGGTTAGAATTTGGGACACCGACTTTGGCACATCGTGACTTCAGAACGGGACCGACAGCCAACACAGGATTCTGCTTGGTCTTAAAGCCTTTGTTGTTGTTGTTTTTTCACAATTTATTATGGCATCGCAGTCAAAATAATAATAATAATTCTGTACATTTATATAGTGCTTTTCTGGACAAAGCACTTTACACATTGGGGGGGTGATCTCCTCATCCACTACCAGTGTGCAGCATCCACCTGGATGACGTGATGGCAGCCATATTGCACCAGACCGCACACTGATTGGTGGAGAGGAGACTGAGTAATGAAGCCAATTATTATATGGGGATGGTTAAGAGGCCATGATGGATAGTGGGCAAATTTGGCTAAGATGCTGGAATTTTTAACGGCCCCAGAGAGCCTGGACCTCGGTTTAACGTCTTATCCAAAAGATGATGCTCACGGAGCACTATAGAGTCTCCATCAATACACTGGGCCATTAGGACCCACACAGACTACAGTTTGAGCGCCCCCTGCTGGCTTCACTTAAGCACCACCACTTGCAGCAACCTAGCTTTCCCATCCAGGTACTGACCGGGCACAGTTGCAGAGAGCTAGCTGCCGGCTAATAGGACAAATGAGCTCATGCATGGGACAAATTCTGGATCTTTGTCAGTGAGGGGTGGGTGGATTTAGTGATTTGGGGGCCCTAAGCAATTCAGGCTATGGAGCCTGAAAGTTCTAAAATGAACCTTTTGTACTTTAATTGATTTATTTAATTAATTTATTTAGCTGTTTTTATTCTTATATCATTCTTTATATCTCCTTTTCTATATTTTGACTTAATGCAAAATAATAACAACAACATGTAAAGTATTTTGTCAAATATTTTATTTTCTTAAAATGGATTCACAACTTAAAATGATAGATGAACTACTTCAATGTTAAAACTAAACCTTTACCTAGTTAGACTGCTGGACCGCTCCATGATGAGGGTGGGGGACACATTTGCGATGTAATAAACATCAAACTTATTTTTTTAGACCCTCATCATACAAAATATGATAGAAAATGACGTTTTCTATATAATTTATACTTCTAGGTATTTATTTGGGGGCCCTCAGATTTCCTGGGGCTATAAGCGGCTGCTTACCTCGCTTATTAGTTAAATCCACCCCTGCCCACTGGCTATCGGCCTGAAGTGTGATTATAAACTAAACAATTAATAAACGTTTACAATAAGAAGCTGGTTAAATTCACACAACAGTGTTTAAATGAAGTTTATTTATGAACTAATTTTAAGAGGAGCTTTTGCTTATCATTGTGCGTAGCTGGTTCCGCATTAGCTAATGTACGATCCACCAATCAGACGAAGCCTAACTCGCTATAAATAACCAAAGCATCTTACCTTAGCCGTCTTCGTGTTGAAGAATCCCCCCTTCCACCCCTATACCTCCCCCTTTTACCCTGAGATGGCGACACGGCAGCCAAGTGATGAGCACTGTTGCTTCACAGCAAGAATGTCACTGGGTCAATTCTTTACCTGGCCAAGTTGACATTTCTGTGTGGAGTTTACGTGTTCTCCCCGTGCTCGCGTGGGTTTCCCCCAGGCTCCCCTGGATTCCTCCCACAGGCAAGACATGTGACAAGTAAATTGACCAAACCAAATCAACACCATAGAAAAGCATTTAATCAGTACTATGTCTATCCACAGTCATTTCTTATTCCTATTCACCATGACAAGCAGGGGAGTTCTCGAGACCTACCTTAGCTCAAACTCTCCAATCTCTCTACAACGGGAGAGAGCCCCGGGCTCGAGCATCTCATGAGCTCAAGGCTCTCTCCCAGGACAGCATGCCAAACATGCTCCATAATCAATCATCAGCTAAGGGTGAACTCTTGAAACCCCTTATAAAATTGATTCTGACCCCTTAAGAAATGTATATATTTTAGCCTAATTACCAAAACCATCTTTAAGCGGGACACTAATATTTTGCAAAATAAGTAGACTAATAATATGCACTGTTACAATGGCAAAGACATGAAAATGAGTTATTTATTAATTCATTCATTCATTTATCCTTTGAATTAGTCTCTTTTTTTAATCAGGGGTTGCCACAGCGGAATGAACAGCCAACTTATCCAGCATATGTTTTACAAAGCGGTTGCTCTTTCAGCTGCAACCCAGTACTGGGAAACACCCATATCAACATCCACCTTATTCATTTCAACTATAGCGCATGTCTTTGGACTGTGGTAGAAACCGGAGCACCCGAAGGAAACCCACACAAATACTGAGAGAACATGCAAACTGCACACAGAAATGCCAGCTGACCCAGCTGGGACTCAAACCAGCAACCTTCTTGCTGTGAGACGACAGTGCTAACCACTAAGTCACCATGTCACCCTTTTAATAATAATAATGATAATAATAATAATAATAATAATAATCAATAATTCATATGAAGGCTAATCATTTTGACTTCAGCTATATATCATTGTAATAAGCATATGCAAAGGAGAGAGATCACTTCTGTATGTCAGGGGAAGCTGAAAATGTCACTTCACATTATGCAAAAGGGTTCTCACTTATCTGACTGTTTTCTTCCCTTCAGACTATGGAGGAATACATGAGCAAACCGGCCTTCTGACAGCAGCAGACGTGATGCAGGGTGACAAAAGGGAAAGAAAAATGCCTCTGCAGTGTAGGTTGTGTCCTGACTTGAAGGACACCATCCTCACTGCAAGTTGCAGACTTGAAGGCTGCAGAAGAATGGGTTTTATTTATTGTTTTGTTTGTTTGTTCGGCTCAATTTTAATATAACTGAATCAGGGTTCATGTTGTATTTTTGCATAGGAGTACTTCAGTCGATTTATAGATGCAATGCAGAATTTCAATGATGGCTATGGCATGCATTTATACATACAACACATAGATTTAATAGATGAATTTCAACTTTTATACCAAAATCATTTTGTTTAATATTACTATATTCACAATAACCTCAAAGCTAGGTGAAGTGCCTTTTCATGTTGAACATAATGCATGTCTCAGGAGATGTTCAGCTCAAGCAAAAAAGAAAACAGCTTTTGAAAGAATATTAACGCTGCTTTGTGAGCACAATTTGTTGATATTGTCTTAATAAAATTGTCTTTTTGATATGATTTAGTCTCAGTCGAGTGTTTGCCTCTATTTTCTCTAATGAAATGCAGCAGCGCTTACTAAAATCCTTCCAGCAATTAGTTTTTGTGCGCTGCAGTGGATTTGCTTTTCTATTTTTATCTCTAATGTTAAGACTCGATTATTATGATGATGATGATCAAGATGCGTCTATACTTGCCACAGATTTAGGGTCTAACTTCTGTACATCTTTTAGATTTTATATATATATATATATATATATATATATATATATATATATATATATATATATATATATATATATATATATATATATGTGTGTGTGTGTGTGTGTGTGTGTGTGTGTGTGTGTGTGTGTGTGTGTGTGTGTGTGTGTGTGTGTGTGTGTGTGTGTGTGTGTGTGTGTGTGTGTGTGTGTGTGTTTATTTATTTAAACTTTAGGGTCTTAATCTTCTTTAAGTCCTTTATATTTTTAGATTAAATGTATGTAGTAATACTTGTAAAATAGTAAACCTGTGTGTGTGTATATAATAATTATTTTTATTATTATCATCATTATCTTTATTATTGTTGTTGTTGTAGTTATTATTATTTTCATAATTATCAAAATCATTATTATTATTATTATTGTAATTATTATTAATATTGTTATTATCATTATTATTGTTAGTGTCATTATTAATTACTTCATCATTAATTATTTCATAATCATCATCATTATTATTATTATTATTATCATTATGCATGTAAGCATGTATGTATTTAATTTATTTATTTAAACTTTAGGGTCTATATCTTTACATCCTTTAGATTTTTAGATTAAATGTATATACTGCAGTAATACTTGTAAAATAGTAAATAGTAAACTTAGTAGACAATAATTAATATTATTGTCTTTATCATTATTGTTATTATTATTATTGTTGTTGTTGTTGTTATTATTAGTAGTATTATTGTTATTATTATTATTATTTTCATAATTATCAAAATCATCATTATTATTAGTATTAATATTGTAACTGTTATTAGTATTGTTGTTGTTATTATTATCATTATTATCATTATTATTATTATTATTTTCATAATTATCATAATTATTATTATTATTTTAATTATCATTAATATTGTTATTATTATTATTATTATTATTATTGTTGTTAATATAATTGTCAGTATTATTATTATTATTATCATCATCGTCATTATTATCATTATTATTATTATTATTATTATTATTATCATCATCATTATTGTTATTATCATTAGTATATTATTATCATTATTATCATTATTGTTATCATTATTACTATCATTATCATTATTATTTAATTATATATATATATATATATATATATATATATATATATATATATATATATATATATAATTAAAAATCTATAATTATATATAAAGATATATCTCAAGATAATATCTCCTCTTTTTATATAGATTCATAAAATAAGCATTTCAAGATAAAATATTACCAAGATCTAACAAATATAAATTATAAATAATTTAGAAATAATTGTTAAAATGTAGACGTATATAAAAACAAATAAATGATGACTAAAGATTTATTTAATATTAAAATAAAGACAAAATATAAAAACAAAATTAGTTTATTATTATTATTATTTTTATTATCATTATTATTATTATTATTATTATTATTATTATTACTAGTATTAATCACAATAGTCACTCATTAATAGTATAATAACCTCAAACTATTTTTGGAAATTTTTTGCACAGACCTTTTAAAACAGAATTGAGGTCCTTCTTTTATATTTTTCCTTTTTATTATTATTTTTTATTAACTGTTTATTTCGCTCGCTGAGACTTTAATTGCTGTTATGAGATTACACTTGACACTTTGACAAATTAGGTTCTGTATCTCCTGTACATCCTTGGTTTTTCATCTATCGGTTATAAATATTTAAATATGACTCATGCTTGTATTCATATGATTGTTTCCAATGAAATGATTTGGTAATAGTTCTTGCATTGAGTCACGCATCACACAGCGAGCGCAATAATCAAGCACAATACAGCGAGAGAAAAAATAATACGATAATGCTTTATTCATGTTTCTCTTCTCACACTTCAGAACACGTACAAAATGATTTATAAATGAGAATCACATCCATCTGTATTGGTCTGATAATGAAATAGCTTGTAAAGATTGCAGCAAGCGGAGTCCTACGACTACAGGAACATTCTCTTGGTACCAACATTAGGAGCAAGAAAACATTTCGAGGACCACCAATTCATTAAACGACAGGTAAAATACACTTTGAACTCCCGCACATTGATATACCATAGATATTTACATCATATAGAATTCCATGAAAACTAAAGCAACTGTTTACTTGTTTTTAAAATAGCTTCTTGAGGAGATATAGGCATGTCCCACAGGAAAGCAGTTTTTTTTTCCCTGTTCATATTTCGACAAGTCCCTTTTTTGGTAGGATTGACTAGTAGGAGCTTCTTACAAGTAGTTTTAATAGGTTTTTAAAGCGATAGTTCACCCAAAATGAATTTAACTTGCCATGAAATATGAGTTTCTGTATTCTCTTAAAGACGATATTTTAAAGAAAGATGAAAACCTGTGAAATAAAATACTCAGAAAATAAATGGTTACGGGCATCCTTCTTTCTTTAGTGTTGAATAAAAGGAAGAAAAGGTCTGAAACGAGTAACCGATGACAGAATTTAAATTTT